ATACAACTTTACAAACCTTAAACCCAGATCTCTCTTGCCAAGCTTGCTTTTCACCACCAAAAACTAGTCCTTGCACTTTTTATCGAAGTAATTTTAGAAGATTTTGAAATTGGTATTCCAACACCTACTTTGCTTATTTGTATACCTCTCGAACTACTGCAAATTTTAGATATTTAACTGTAACCTGAAACCGATCCTCTATTCGCACCTCCATCCGAGATATTATTTTAGTTGCCGATACAATCAAGATATCAGAAACCCTAGAAAAATTGCTCTTGCATTACTTACCAGATATACACATCTCACTGCCTTACCTACTATCAACTTTGAATACCAAAATGTTTTTGACCACTACATCGATCTAGCTTACAGTTTTGGATACAAGAAACCAGGACAATATGAAAGATATTTTAGAAACCTAGGACCCTCTATACAACATCAACCAGATGAAGATTATAGTTTTAGCTACCAAGACTATATATACTGACGAAATTATTTTAGGTTTCGGGGTACGAAATTAAAATTTGAAGACGAAATTGTTTTTGATCTATTTTACTTAAAAGACGAAATTTTTTGACACTTTTTTTAAAGAGACGAAATTATAAGGAACATAACTACCTAAATTAGATTTGCTATTGCATATAAAAAATTTCAAATTGCTCTAATAGAGACGAAATAGGGTTTTTTGAAAACCTATTTCAGTGGTATATATAACCAAAACCAACAAGTTATCCTAAGGACCCCATCTCCTTCTAGTTTACCCTCTTATCAAGACGAAACTGATAATCCACACTATCAACCTCTCCAATATTCTTCTTAAAATACATTTGAAGTACCTCAAGGACAATTTATTAAAGTAGACCTTGTTCCTCTTTCAGAAGTACAGATAGAAGAACATAATCTAGAAAGAGAAGAAGCTCTACCTCCAGAACATCCAGATCAAAAAAATAATTCTGACTTTGATAATATTGTCCAAGAAATCTTTACCCCAACCGAAACCTTTGAATTATCAGAAAACTATCAAGAACAATTTGACAATAATTTATCTCTACCTGAAGCAAATCTACCACTACTAGAACAACTTAAAGAAAACCTATTACCACCTTCAGAACAATCTGAAGCTAATTTACTACTATCACAACCACCTGTCACACCTCCACCTATAGTACCTCCTGTAAATATGGTTGATGCTGCTTTTAACAATGCTGCCCTAGCTATGACTAACCTGGCTAATATTCTTGTACTAGGTGGTAAAAAGTCCCTCCTTAAAATTGATTTCTTTACTGTGATGAAAAACAAGATCCAGTAGAATGGTTAGAAGAATTTGAATGAGCTGCTATTGCTAATAACTGGAGTGCCACTCGACAACTTGCTCTTGCCCCCGCCTATATGAAAGAGATTGCTGCTGAATGGTTCCAAGGTCTTAACCTAGTACCTAATGCTTTCAAGAATGCTCATGCTACAGACCGAAGCTTCTACCATTTTTTTAAAACTAAGTTCAGCTCCACCAATCAAAAGATCAAGTAGCAAAAACAATTCTTTGATATCAAACAGGAAACAGACTCAGTAGATGCTTATGTAACTCGTTTCAAGAAGTTACAAGCCTGTATAGACCCTACTAATGCTTTTTCCGATGATTTCATCCTTAACTTTTTATCTAAGGACTTCGACCTGAATATGCTATTGGAGTTCAAGCTAGAGGACCTGCCAAATTGGATGCTGTTATTAATGCTGCTTATAATTGGAAAAATGGCCAACTTATATCCACACCTACCACAGACACAGATCAAGCTATTAAATAACTAACTGACCAGATAGTCCAACTTAGCATTAACCTTGCTTAACAGAAATCTGCACCTACTTTCATATACTATACTGAAAACCCTACTACTGCTAATATAATCAGACAACTATCTACCTGCTACTATTGTGGATGCACTGAACATTTCGTTGCCCAATGTCATACTAAACAGAAGAATTAATCACAATCACAAGACAGAAGCTGAGATTGTTACAGTAATCGAAGAAATGATCGATCTAGAAGCTGAGACAGAAATTACTCCTGATCTTTCGACTAAAGTATATCTAGAGATAGAAATAGATCCAAAAGCTGTGACAGTTATCCCTGATATCGAGATTATTCTTGAGAATGAGATAGCTACTACTCCTATGCCGACAACTCTAGACGACCCTCCAATCACTCACCTTCTCCTTACCACCGCGATGTCAACTACCTTGACCAGAACTCTAAACTCTCATCACCCATGAGCCAAAAGAAATAGGAAACCCTACTAGACAACCTCTCCATCCAAAGTGCTCTTTCTGCTCATCTAAGTCAAGAAGCAAAATCCCTTACTATCGCTCCTAAACCAACCACCACTTCTGTCAAGTGCAATGTCAAAATTAAAAACAGACCTTACCAAGCTATTGTAGATAGTGAAATATCTATTAGTATAATTGCTCATAAAGTAGTCCAAGAACTAGGACTTAAAATCGAACAAGCCTCAACTAGCCTTATTATCTCTGCTACTAGAACTTCCTTTCGACCTCTAGGAATTATTCGAGATCTGCCTATCCAGATTGAAGGAGCAACTATCCCTATTACTGTTGAAGTTATTGCTACTATAGTGCAAGACATCTATACTCAATAGTTACATGAAGTGTTTCAATTTTTTAAATAGCTATAACTTTTTATCTAAGAGGTATTTAAAAATCTGACCAGTAACGTTATAGAGCTACATCAGCTCTACATATATACCAAATATCTTTTTAAAATCTCATTACTGTAAAAAGTTTTAGCAATTTGAAAATTAAAATTTTATATGTAAATTTATAAATTTACATATAAAATTTCAAATTTTAAATTGCTAAAACTTTTTACAGTAATGAGATTTTAAAAAGATATTTGGTATATATGTAGAGCTGATGTAGCTTTATTAGTTAACCTAATTAAGTTGATATATCCAGGCTTTAGATGCCTTTGGTTTCTTTTTTTTAGTTTTTAATTTTATAATATAGAACCTTTTTCTTTAGTATAACTCTGACAACTAAGTTAATAAACTCTCTTGTCTTAAAGTTATTATATCTAGTTCTTTGGTTTTTAGTTTTCAGTATTCCAACTTCTATAGTATTATCAAAATCTTTACTACCTTTTGCTCAGAACTTCCAAATATATTATAATTATTTTAATTTCTTGATTTTGTTTATATAATATCATACAACTTTATTCAAAAGCTTTTATTCAAGATAGTAATACTAAGACTACAGGTAATATACTCAACCGATTATTGAATAAATATTACCAATACAAATTTTAATTTTTAAAATTATCACTAGTGAGATTTAAACTCTAGATCTGCTATTTGGGGTGACAACTTACTAACTACACTATGTTGCCATATCCCTGGTAATGAAATTCAAATTTTACAAATATAGTAGACAAACTGTATATAATCTAATAATTCAGTGCCTGTAACTTTGATCATACTAGCTTGTACTATAAGAATGTGAAATATTAGTATAATATATGAATTACACAAAACCTGAATAAAGCAGCTATATAAATCCAATATACAGAAGCCTGTTTGGCAAATCCTAAGTAGAAGTAATACAGGTTTTTGACAGTACTACATAAAAGATTATTATTAGAATCTAAATACTAGTTGTAAACTAAACAAAAACAGGTATTTGACAAGACACCACACCAACCAGGCCACTGAATAACTAAAAAAAATTTTAATTAAAATACTAAGAGACATCCACTGGTTTTTCTAAGCTGAAGTTTAAAATATTGACAAAACTTAAATACTGGTGATAGTTTATAAAATAAATGCTAGAGTTCTCAACTAACAAATATAATATAAATATACTGATAATACAAGAAGGATTGTATAACAGAGGGTTTAAATAAATAATCACCTAGTCAGGTTTATAGTTATAGCATCTAGTGTAGTTTCTACAATGTAATACTAATATGCAGACTACTTAAATAGGCAACCAAAAGTTGCATATGTGGCTAGTTGTACTTTCTAATGTAAAAGGGTGCTCGGCTAAAGCCATAAACCTCCCCATCCAAAAACTCGAATAAAAACCTTAGCCCAAGAAAATTTTGGTATAGAAATGTTTTTTACTAATGCCTAACCTTAACCTATCTTAATGCTAGCCCTAACCTTAAATTAACATGTTAGGTTTATTTTGATTTTACGTTACAACTGATCTTATGAGATGCGTTACAATACATACGCGCAAAAATAATATAATTTTATAATAAAACGCCTTTTTATTTTAATATCTTAACATGTGTCCTTTTAAATACTTTAAAAAAATTTCATTATATATTAATATATTAATTTAATTTTTTATAGGTTAGCTTTTTAAAACTATTGGTTTAGAAAATTATTAAAAAAAATTATAATTGGTACTTAACATCAATTAGCAATTTTGAAAAAATTTTTTGTAAATAAAATTTTTAAGAAGTTAAAAATTAAAACTAAAGTCTAATACAATAAGTTATATAAAAATATTCAATTATTTTATATAAATTAATAATATTATAAACTTGAACTTTATTGTATCAATCTTAAATCAATAAATACTTGATAAAACTAAAAAAATAAACCAAAATACTTGACTTTTATTTATAAAGCTATTTTTTTTAAGTTTTAACAAGATCTTTTGCAAAATTTTAATATAAACCACACTTTATCAAAACTTTAAACCCTAATTTAAGATTTTTGCCTTTAAATTTTATATTAGATAAATTTACACAAATGATATTTATATCTTATATACTAGTATAAATTATGTTTAATAAATTATATTTAGTATATGAGTGTCGCTAAAAGAAAACCCGAAAATTTAAATATAAGTCATATTTAAATTTTCGGGTTTTCTTTTAGCGACACCCATATCTAAATATATATTAAATATTTCAAATTGTATAAATGATTAGAGTTAAGTAAAAACCGATATCTAATTTAACAATCTCTTTTATGCAACATTTAGGTAATATGAGCAGGATCATCAGCGCTAATTATCGTTCTAGTTGGTATCAAACTGTTTTCTAAAATATAATTGGCATTCACCATGTCATTATTTTCAACTCTAAAAAAGGCCTGTTCTTCAGTTTCAGCTATTCAAGATCATTTATTAATAAGGATCTTTGTCTAAAACAGGCCGAAAAATAAAAATGAAAAAACATACTAAGGTGACTTTGAATATGCCTTTTGATAATTCTTTTTTTTGCAATTTCGCGATCTATATGTAGAAACCATAATTCGTCCATATGTGATGCAATTGATTTCCAGACTGGTGGTTCTTTCAAATGGAGGTAAAGTCCTTCCATTATCACCAATTTATGACTAGGTCAAAGCAACAAAAAAACAGTAACACGTAAACTTTAACAGTAATCAATATAAACAAATATGTTATATACAACCTTGGTAATATTTCAATATCATTTTCAACGGGGTCGCCTTTACCATGATCGTACGATGGTGCAGTTATTGTTTGACTGCTATCAATAGGACGTCGGAGAGCTTCCGTCAAAGTAAGAAGACCTTTACAAAAATTCGATCAATATAACTAGTTTAATTCAAAATTTGAGAAGAATTAGTATAATCCAACCTTGCGCATCAAATGTCCAATATGCACCTCTTCGAGCATAGGCTTCTTTAGGATCCTAATATTTTGATCAATATTGATCAAATCTTTATTTACCGTGTTATCGCAGAAGAACTTACACACAAGTTATTTCAGTAATGGCAAGAATTAATTTTAATTAGGACCATTATTCAAAATAACTTGCATGCAAAAATAAGTTATATATTTGTGCGTACTGGAAATGTATCTAAAATTTTTTGGGGATAATGATACCCATCCATTGGCACCATTACAGAGACATTTCCCCCCATAAGTTCATTTACACGTTCAACAAGAGTTTTTGCTAAAGTGGACTTCCCTGAGCCCGGTATTCCAGCAATGGCGACAAGGAGTCGGTCACGAGACGAATGACTTCTATCAAAAAATATTTCTAAACATTAAAATTGAAATAAAAAAACATTTTTGATCTATACTAACGATATCTTTTGCGTAAGGTATAATGCGAGAGTATTATAGGCAGCATCCATTTGAATCAAAGACGAGCGGAAGTAAACGATTTAGCAGATTATCTTAGTGATACGAATCCAAAAAGAGTGTTTTATATGTGGGTCATCTGAAATCATATAAAGGTAATATAATGAAAATTAATATAATTCCAGAAAAACCTTTTCTTTTATATAACTTTTAGTATATACTATCTCTATCCTGGCCTAAAATTGTGACTCTCATGTGTTATTAGCGCAAATAGTGAAGATTTTTTTCATGTTCAACGTCCAAGTTAGAGGTGCAGACATATTGTCGTAATTAGGTCGTAACCTAATTCACCTCAATAAAAATAATCTATTTTAAAATAGGTCGTAACTGATTGCGACAATATGTCTGCACCTCTAGTCTTTTAATTGCAACCACTTGTCGGTTTATACAGATGTTACGCGTATTATTCAAGTTTGCCAGTACGTAAATATGATGTAAAAAATTACATAATTATAATATAAAGATATATAAGTAGTATGTTTCCTTAATCCCAAACTCTTTCTTAGTCGTAAGTATTTGTCATAAAAATATTCACACTAGATATTAAACGTATCCAGCAAACTTTTATAAAAAATGTCGAAATCAGGACACCGTGATACTGTATCCCATGTTTCTCACATCGCGCAAAGTTATTCTGATGTTAAAAACAAAGAACAACCTCATGAACTTCACGATAAATACGTTCATCCTTCTGCAAATCATGATCCTAAATTACCCTTCAATCCAAAAATGGCCATTGAGCGAGAAAGTATTAAACAACATATTGATCATGAAATTGAAGCGGAAGATCGAGAAATTGAAAAAAAGAAAGATGAAAGGCAAAGCAAGAAGATTCCAGCCAAGAAATAAAAATGATCTACCATTGAGATGGGTGATAACAAATGACAAATAATGACATAAACATATCAAGATAAAAAGCTGTTATGCGAAATGCTTTAAAGGTTGATAGCATGGACGAAACCCAACTTAGCTAGATATTTAAAGATATTGTAATATAAAATTACAAATATATTTATTCATCCATCATAAATGAGGATGTTATAATCATTACAAAATTTTAATTTACTTTGCCAGAAAGTATTAATAACTTTGCTATTGTTATTTTACAAATGTTTATGATTTCTCAATTATTACAGTATTCAGACTGTACACTTGAGCTGTGTAGTTATTTAATTAAAGTTACTGTAGTCAGCTGCATATACTTGTGTTTGAAGTTGTCACCTGGAGGCTGAAGCCTAATGTTATCTGCCCGAAGTTATTATTTAATATGAAACTTCATGTTGAGGGCAATTTATAGTTAGGAAGGTGTTGTTACTTTTGCTTCCAGTGGGAATTTCTAATCTTCCAGTGGAAATTTGTAAAAGTAAAAGTTCCAGTGGCATAATTAATTTGTTTTCAGTGGTGTAATATAACCAATTTTATTAGTAGATATTTTATTAGTTAAATTTATATTATTATATTAAATTTTTATTAGTCGTATTTTATTAACA